TCCAAGTTTGTCTGCTTTGTAAAGTTTTGTTTGTTTGTTTGAAATTACCAGAGTAAGATGAACTGCAGTGTAAGATGGGCTATTTCACATAATCTAGTAATGACACATCTATTTGCTGTTAACATGAATAATTTCTATATTTTCATTCCATATTAAAATCTAATAAAATCCTTACTGAGTAAGTGATTTTATTAAATATATGATTATAAAACAAATCAAAAAATAAAGTCCATCTTCACTTCACTCCATGTTACTAAAGTTCTAGTAAAAACTTTGAAGTCATTGCTTTCTTGATTTCAGGTTTAAGAAGATTAAAACTGAGAAGTAATATATTATCCATACTATTAGTATTCTTTCCTTGTAAAAATAATCATGTGCTGATATGTCTTCACTTTAACATTAAAACTGTGAATATGTATATAATGTAAAAATGTGGCAAAATATAAATGTTCTTAATTAATAACTCTTGATTTTATAGCCTAAATTGTTTAATAATAATCAAAAGTAAACATAACTCTTGTATCCCATTTATCATGAGCAGGCAACTCCAGCCATATACTTTAATATATTAGTAAATACTTGCATATGTGTAAAAATACAGTTTTGACAATTTAAATATTATTCTTATTCTGATTTCCCTCATTGAAACTAACTGTAGTGATGGGAGACATTTGCTTCGACATAAGGAAATAATTTAATATGTTACTTAAAATAAATAATACAATAAAACCCCATATTTTAAGGAATATGGGTAAAATTAAATCATCCTTATATCTTATTTTTAAATGACAAGATAGGTTTTAAGTTTCATGCCCATGAAAAATGGAAGTTTACATAACTTACTAAGAAATACATCTGAACCAATCTTAAATCATTTCTTCTAAAACCTATGTAACTAATAAGACCATGAAAAAGTAACCATGTGGTTTGTAAACTGAAAATATTTATTTCTCTCTTCTTGTGCTGTTTTTATAAAGTCTCCTGTCACTATACTTAAACACAAGTTTCCTAAGAGAATTGTTTTTTATCTGAAATTAGCCTCTGTTCTCCCAATAGTTATTGCTTACTTACTGAAAGCAATACATAAGCCTATGGTTTAAGGTTTCATTACACAGTGATTCCATTCTGCCACTGTGAGCAAAAGTATCTGATTGCTGATGAAATTCTCTGTATTCGTTTCACCTCTTCCCTCCAATCTCTGTTAGGTTCTGAGCTCATGCCCAAAGCACTCTCCACCAGGATAGTGGGAGGCATTTGGTGGTTTTTCACACTTATCATCATTTCTTCGTATACTGCTAACTTAGCCGCCTTTCTGACAGTGGAACGCATGGAATCCCCTATTGACTCTGCTGATGATTTAGCTAAACAAACCAAGATAGAGTATGGAGCAGTGGAGGATGGTGCAACCATGACTTTTTTCAAGGTAAGGCCTATTGTTTACCTACAATGTTTATAATAAAGTATAAATTGCAAATAGATCACTCTCTATTAATGATTGTAAACATACTAAAACGGCTATTTGTACAGTATAATCAGTAGTTTCAGAGGATAGAGATCATATACCCATCAAGAAAAAACAATACAGTACTTGTAAGAATATAGTGACAAAGGTTTGCCTTTTAGGCTGGCAGGAAGAAAGTTTGTCATACATGGATTCCTTTCTGTTACAATTAGACAAAGTTTCCTCATTCAAAACATGTGAAAGAAGTGGGAAGAATTATTATAAACCAGCCAAAATGTTTTTTTCTGCCTAAATATTATTATCTGTCTAATATTCTCCAGAAGGAGAGTGCTGTGGAATATTTAAATAGAAAATGTATTTGTACGAAATTTTAAGCATCTAGAGTGCCCTGCCAACCTCTTTGCTTTTCCTCCTTAGGACAGCTGATCACACTAGGCTACAGTATAAAAAATTAGGAGATTACATTTGAAGGAGATAGTTTTACTTAATAATTTATTTTATAAATTTCAAGTACTTTTAGAGCTTTGTTTGTGAAATTGTTAAGCATTGGTATTTTATTTTATTTTTCCCATAGATGCTGTTGCAATTCAATTGTGCATATATGGCAAATTTATTTATTTAAAAAATTGACTTGTGAAATGTATTATTCTTCAAACATTCATCTTAGTCCTATTGAATGTCAAAAATTGCTCCATAGATATTTTAGAGTACATGAGATCTAGTTTTCATTTTTCAAGATTTGTAATTTACTGAGGACACAAAAAATGACTTAAAACAGCAATTTTCTTATTTAGTAACGTATTTTTTTTGTAAAACTTCACCGGGACCAGAAAAATAGTACAGCAAAAAGGGTAAGTGCCTTGGATGTGGCCAACTTGGGTTTTATCCTCAGCAATCCTTATGATCCCCCAAGCACCGCCAGGAACAATTCCTGACTCTAGAGATAGGAGTAAGATCTGAGCATTGCCAGGAATGACCAAACAAACAAACAAACAAATGAAAAACCCAAAAAGATAAAACCAAAAAACCCCCAAACTTCAAAGAAAGTAAAATCAGCTATTTTTCAGTTTTGAAGGACACCAAGTAGCCACAGTTATTATTATTTAGTCTCATCTATATTATTAAAAATTATTTTCACTGTAAGTTTCTCATTAACTAAATTTGAATGCATTAAATGCATTGGTTGTATTTAATTAATAATTTATTATTCAATGGTATTTATTGAATAAATATTTTCAGATTATGTCTAGATTGAACATCATATTATATGATTTACTGTTTGAGGTGGTTAAAATTTCCCCAAATGAATATTTAGAATTAATAAAATTTCTTTTCTTATAGAAGCTTTTTTATAAGAAAAACAAGTTTATGGATACAAAAATTAAATTATAAATAAATAAATATTTTAAAAAATTATAAAGTAGTTCACAATATTTCATTACATTTAATATTCAAACACCAATTCCACCACCATTACACCTTCCCACCACCATATTTCAGGTGTTTCCATCCCAAACCCCAATCCCTGCCCCAAAGCAGAACCAAAATAATATATTTTGTACTGTTTGTTATGAAAAAATACTGAAAATGCTACAAAAAAGTATCCTTAGAAGAAAGAGTGTGAAGATTGTATTATTAAACCCATGGACCATTAGGCCTTTTATAAGATATCACTAGCATGTTGTTAAATGTTGAAACTTTTGTGCTTCTTATAAACTTTTTAAGGAGTTAATTCTTGAAAATGCTAAGTGCACATTTTCAGTGTCAACAACATTGCAGGATATCTATGTGACAAACTTAAGTTGCTCAATATCAAAGAAACTTTTGGAGTTGAATTTGTATAATATCTCAAAATACTTGACACAAATAATTTTTTTTTTTGCTTTTTGGGTCACACCTGGTGATGCACATGGGTTACTCCTGGCTCTGCACTCAGGAGTTACTCCTGGCGGTGCTCAGGGGACCATATGGGATGCTGGGAATTGAACCCGGGTTGGCCGCATGCAAGGCAAACGCCCTACCCGCTGTGCTATCTCTCCAGCCCCAACACAAGTTATTTAATAGCATAGATGGTTATTCCTGTTTCAAAGGATTTCAGCTTTAATTTTATTTTTATTTTCCAGAATAAAAAGAAAACTCATTTCAAAACTCTTGTGTATTATAAAGTTGGCAACTGCAAAAATATTTTCCCCAAAAAAGACACCCTTTTACAAAATCATCTTTTAAGCGTATTTCTGATTCCTTTCCATTTTTCCTATCTTCTCTTCTTTTTTTATTTCAGTGTTTTTTGAAGTGTCATTTTTGCCTACATTTTTTCTCATATTATTCCTGCTCTTTTATCTTTTGTTTTTATATCTCAAACACAAGATGACTCTTGTACCCAGAGAAAATTGACATCAATAACTTTCTGTTTTCAAAAGCAGAATTTCTGTAGAATTGACGTTTTTTAGAATATACTGGTCATAATAAAAAATGCATGCCAGACACAGTAACAACAAAGTCTCCAATGGAGACGTTACTGGGCCCGCTCCAGCAAATAGACGATCAACGGGAGGGCCTTTACCTTACCTTTACCTAATAAAAAATGCACAGTGGAATCACCAAGTTGACAATTTCCTTATTTTGTTAATTTTATCATATGCTAAATTTTTACTAATTTCTACCTCATATGTTGGCGAGTTTATTTATACTCATACTAGTGAGATATTAAATAATTTAAAAAAAAATTTCCTAGAAATCCAGCAGCTGAATAAAATATATACTTATTTGAAACCCAAACAGTTACTCTGGATGTATTGTGTATAGTCTATTACATTGAGTACTGTTCCTTTATTTTCAATTAACAGTAACACATACAAATCTAGGAAGTGCCCTTAAGACAATGATTTCTAAAGGAATTTCTGTCTGGTTTTAAAAAAATCTGAATAAGAACTTGCTGATACATAATGCTTCTGGAACTCTTAGATCCAGAAAATTGTTTAAAAGAATGGTACAGTTTTGTTACTATAGAAAAGAAGATAAGACTCAAGATATTTGAACATAAAAGAGGTAAGTCATTTGTATTACAAAGGCATTGTGTAACTCTTCTACCTTATTTTATCCTTTCTTTTCCAAATAAGATGTTTTATGTTCCTTGTCCTCACATGCATATTGTCTGCAAGAAGATTTCATTCCTGTAACCATCATACTTTACATACACTCTCTGAGGATAAATGTTAATCTATAATTGTCAAAATAATTCAAATTGCAGATTTTGTTTCTTTAGTATTATTTCATCTAATCAATAAAAATATAGTGCATTCCAATATGTTCCCAACAATAGCAAAATAGCTAAACACTCAGATTTTTATTTTTCATCAAAAATTTTTGTTAAATAAAATATTTCACAATAAAAATAAATCAAAAGCTTTCTTTTCAGAATCTAGGAAATTGGTAGAAAAAATGAAATCTCACCCTGGAAGTGAATTCCATACAAAATGTTATCAAGCAGCGATACATTATTTTATTTTTTGAAGTGTATATATATACATAAAATACATATACATAACCTAATATATCTACATATACATACATATGTATATGTATATGTAAATATATGTGTATATGTACACACATATATATTAGAAGTTTCAATATAAATGGATCACATGCCTAAACATAACTCAATTGGTATTATGGGATCTTTTAGTTTCCTTATGTTTTTAAAATGAGTCATGTGTTTTACAAAATGATGTGCATAACTCTTTCTGTGTAATTTCTGACTGAAGTTTTCAAGTTGATATAAATTCTCTCTTTAGATTTACTTTATCTGAAATCTGGCTTTGCCACATGTACTAAAATTATCATGTCCTCTTTAATGGTATTTTGCCACTTATTAAAAAGAAATTTAAGTTGTGTCAAATGTTACAGACAAATTAGTAATTCTTTTGAAACCATAAAATCTACTACCTAGAATATAACCGAAAAAACATTATTTCTTTTTTTTATTAAAAAATTTTTTTTTAATAGTGAGACATCATGAGGTACAGTTGCAGACTTACACATTTTTGTGCTTGGGTTTCAATTATATAATGATCAAATACCATCCCTCCACCAGTGCCCACTTCCCACCACCATGCATCCCAGTATCCCTCCCAACCCCCATCTCCCCCATCCCACCCTGGCTCTGTGTCAGGGCATTCCCCTCTGTTCTCTCTCTCCTTTTAGGAGTTGTGGTTTGCAAAAGAAACATTGAGTGGCAATCATGTTTGGTCTATAGTCTACTTTCAGCATGCTTCTCCCATTTTGGGAGGGTCCTCCCAACACCTTTATTTGGTGTTCCCCTCTTTATCTGAGCTCCCTTTTCCCTAGTATGTGTGGTTGGCCTCCAAGTCATGGAATAGAATTCCTGGTACTAATCTTGGCCATTCTTGGGTGTTAGTTTCCTATTTTGTTACTTTATGTTCCCCAGATGAATGCAATCTTTCTATGTCTATCCCTTTCTTTCTGAGTCAGAGAAAACATTATTTCTATGTTTTATAAAAATACATTGGAAAAGCTATGGAATAAGAAAATTGATATTCTTTCTATTTTTAATACTGATTTTTAAATTAGAAAAGATAGTTTTTTTAGATTGATATCTCATCTCCAAAAATGGAATAGTGAATAGGACAATAATCATTATATGTTTTAAATATAAAATTAATATATTGCTTGGTATATCAAGTTTAGTACCATTTTGATAGCTCTGTAATAACACTTAATGAAAGCTTAATTATTGTTATGTATTTGAATTAAAATAGTTGGTTAATTAAAATATTAGAATTCAGAACAGTTTTAAATATGGTCATGAAAATTATCCTTCTAATGACCCACAATTGAATAAGGTTTTGATGAGAAAAGGACAATGTGTCAATTTAATTACCTAGTTAATTATTTAAATGATGAGTATCACAATGATGTGAACTGATAAGCAAAATAAT